TAACATACATGGCAACATAGTAACTGAAGACAGTTACTCTAAGAATTCACGTGTGAGTCAGTGGAGGAGGAACTAAAGAGGAAAACAATAATGAAAGTGATCAACTAAAGCCAAGGAGATTAAATACTATACTTTGAAAATGTTTTCCAGATCCCAACAAGCGAAGTTCTAAGGCTACTGAGTAGCATTTGGGAAGCTCAGAAGTTCTACTCCGAAAACCAGACTTGTGTTTCCCCACAGAAACCCAGAACACACAAGCACGACCACCTCGTTTCACCAGCAGCAGGGAGGCCCCGCAGTGTTGCCAAGGGCGTCGCTCTCCACTTGCCACCCACTTCCTCTGTGGGCTCCCAGGGCCGCAGGCCCAAGAGACTCAAGGGGACAGCTGGACAAACAAGCCCACGTTCCTCACCCGGCGCCTTCGGGACCGCCCACCCCTGCTCCTCGTGCGTGCTCACTGCTGCCACCCGGCTCTGCCTCTGCCGCCCACCCGCCGCCACGCGGTCCTGCCGCCGATCCACCCTGCGCCCCTGCTGCAGCCAGGCCACACCCTCGAGAACGCCTTCACGCTCAGCTGGGCTTTCAAAGACGCCAGCACCTGGCCCCGACAGCACCTCCCCAGCCACCTCTCTCCTACCAAAAGCCTTTGACCTCAGTCAAATCAGAACACATTCACTTCACCAGCACTGGCCGGGCAGTTCCCTGCCTTCAGGGGTCTCCGGTCCCAGCGGGGAGTGAAACGGGCGTGGGGACGGTCACACAGCGTAAGCGCTACAGGAACGGCACAGACCCAGTGCTCCGGGAAGAGACCGAGGACGGAGGCCTGCCTGGCAGACCAGGAACGGCTTCACGTAAAGCAGCTTCAAACGGAAAAAAGCGCACGATGCAGCACAGGTCCCCGGCGGCCCGCAGGGGAGGAAGGCGGTGGGAGTGCCTGGAAGGAATGGGCGGGGGCCAGAGCTGCCAGCGGAAACCAGGCAGCACCCGGGACACCAAGGCCCCGGCTGGCCAGTCTGCGGAGTGGGGAGCCAGGCCTCCCTCTGTAACAGGCCTCTCAGACGTTTCCCATGGGTAACTGTGTAATTTTCAGAAAATCAAAGGCTGGCCGGATCACGAAGAAAGTGTTTTTACTGACACACGCTCAGCAAGTAAGTAACCAATTCAGTAAGAATGTACTGAGTACCTTCTAAGGGATATCGAAGGAACAAGACCTGATCCATGTGGTTAAAGAACATCTGAAAATTCTATACTGACTGTCAAGGTCTAAAGATAAATGAATTTATATGAATAAATGAACCAAATTGAGAGAAGTCTCCCCTAAAGATTTCTTTTTGGGGAGATTCCTCTCCCCTATAACCCCTGGAATTATCTTCTGGAGGACGGGCCCCTTGTAGCACAGGCTTCCCCTGCTAGTTCAGAGTTCTAGGGACCCATGTGGATCAGTGTACCAGCTGGTGCTGTTGTGAGAGGCTGCGTTCGACCCCAGTGAATATTTTTTGGAACTCTTTCAACAAATTTCCCCTTTTCATGGGTGATTTACAAGCACACCCACCACACTGCGCGGAGTATTCAGCAGTTTTTGACCAAAAAGTGGCATGACCCCCACGCCCCACTCTCCCTGTTTACCCAACCTCACCCCAAGTGACCCTTGTGTCACCGATTAAAAAAGTCCTCAAAGGGAAACATTTTGCCAGTGTGGAAGAGGTGAAACAAAAACGGCAGAAACACTAAAAGGCATGAAAATCGAGTTCAAAAACTGTTTGGAGCAGTGGAAAAGTCTCAATAGAGGTATTCCATCAAATGTAGAGTACTTTCAAGGTGACTTAAGTTTCAACATGTAAGATAAATACACAGTTTTTCATACATAAATTCGGGGTTTTGGGGGCTCACCCTCCTCCTATATCACTAGTTGGGATATCAGCTTGAGACAGAACAGTAACACAGGAAGACAGGGGCAGAAGGTCGAAGCCCGTCGCGCCCACCAGACCGCCCGCCAGGAGGGCCGCCCCCCTTACGTCGCTCTCCGTGATGGTGATGGGGAGGCCGCGCAGCATGATGGTCTTGCTCTCCCGCTCGTCACTGATGTCGTGCCGGTAGTCGTGCTCGCCATAGTCGCCGTCCGAGTGGTAGCCGTCCTCGGATCGGTCACTGTTCCTCCTTTCGCGTTCTCGCTGAGGTGCGAGAAACAAAATCGCAGGTAAAGTCACCCTGGGTTCCTGCCCTCCGGTCCGGGCCTCCCGTGAAAATGAGTTCCGCGGTGTTTTCCAAAACAGCAAAACCAAGCCAGAAACGCCCCGCCAGCAGTCACTCGGTTCGGGAGGGTGTTCCACACCGCCCTGCCCAGTTTTTCAACGCACAGTGACACACCATTACCTGTCGCAGTACAGAGAGTATGTGCGTGGAAAAAGTGGAAAAAGAAAAAACTACTTGCAAAATCATACGGGCAACTTAAGTATTTCCAGACAAAGCCACGTATGAAAGGAATATGAAGAAAGGCGTGCCAAGGCGGCTGAAACCACAGCTTCCAGAAACCCCACCCGGGGCCCGGGGCTGGCACACCATTACAGCCGCCTGCTCCGTCTTTCAAACGGGCAGACCACCCGCCCGCCTTGCAGGGGCAGGCAGGCCCAAGCGAGTCCACGCAGGGAAGTGCGCGGAGAAGCGTCGGGTGCGTGGCGAGCCCTATGGCCCGCCCCTTTGTTACTATGACAAGGTCAAGTTTGTCTCTGAGGCTCACAGTCGATCAACAGGTTCCAGAACAACAATACTCCAGAGGAGAGACCTCCACACTCGGGACACTCGTCTCAAGGGTCCTGGAGGGTCAGTGCGTTCAGTTCATGAGTCTGACAACTCCACGCACGGCCGCCGGCCACTCACCTCTGGGCTGTCGTAGTCTCGGTAGTCGTCGTACCGGTCGCCCCTGCGATCGTCACTAGATCTCTTGTAGTCGGAGTCCCTCCGCCGGCTCCGGGACTCGCGCTCGTCCCGGTCATCCCGGTCTATGATGGACCCGTACCTCCCACTGCGCTCCGTCCTGCTCACTCTGCGGGGAGAAGGGTGTCCGTTCACTCGCAGCACGTAAATCACTTGCTGTGCCTTCAGAGCACATGGCTGAACACAAACCCTACAGCTCAGTTTATAAGACATACAAGTAGTTTTATGCATCCTTCAAAATGTATCACTCAACTCTGGTTCACAAAGACAACCACTGGGAAATCATTTACATCCCCAAATGCAAAGGTAATTTTTAGGAATTCATGCTCAATCTGAAAACACAGCTATCAAATGTTTGGGTTTAATATTTCTGGGAAAGGGCCAGGTTGTTCAAATGTATCCCGTGTCCCCCAAGCCTGTGGTCTACACGTCACCCCCTTTTCCTGACTTTGACCTCAGTGATCGAAGGCAGGAAGAAAAAACTATTAGCATTGCACCCAATTTCAGAGGAGAGCCCACCCTGATGCGCCCGCTCTCGCGGGCACCACAGCCACGTGGGTAAGCTAAAGGACCCTTTTCCCCGCAGGCAGCTAACAACGCAGCTCCCCGGTCAGACCCGGCCGGCGCCGCCGCTGCCAGAGAACGTCACTCCCCGCGGCCCCGGCTTCTGTCCGGTCCCGGTCCCGGGGCAGCACTGGGGCTCTGCAAGTCGTCACGAGGCTTAGACCCATCTGACCACAGGCACACAGAGTTCTTTCATGAACTGTTTGCCGGGTTCATAAAACTGCTCGTAAGGACGATACAAAGCACGGGTTTACAAGGGCCTCCTTTAGCGTACACAGACTTTAAAAAACTGGCGACTGTGACAAGTCTAGGACTGTTTCACGGCTGTGAAGGTCCCGGAGGAGAGGCCCTAAAGACGTAAATGTAAGTTATCTGGACCCACGGACTGCTGGCACAACTAAAATACTGACACCCCGTGACACGCACATTCCCCGAGTGCCTCGGGCCATCGGTGTGACCCGCCCGCCACTGGGACTGGCATCAGTACTGAGGCGGCAGGTGAGTGAAGAAGTAAAGGGTCTGTGTTTAAATCCAGTGGTTTGGGGGACAGAAACCCACAGAGGACCCAGGAGCCAAACCCTCTCTCACCTTCATCCTCCACTACTCCTTCAGCAGTTTTTCCGTGTGTGACCCACAGGCCAATGCTTCTCAGCTCTGTAAATCGGGGTCATCTCGCTATGCAGGGGACAACGCCGAGAACCGGCACTCGCTGACCGCCCACTGCTTCGCCCAGGCCGTGTGCAGAGCCCCGGAGTGTGGGTCCCCGGGCTTCCGCAGGTGCTGTCACCCGCACGGCGAAGCCTCGGTGACTCACGGCACCGCGCACTCCTTTGCCGAGTTCTTACTTATCCCTTGAGGCTCCCTCTTAGAGACTACTTTCTCCAGGAAGCTTTCCTGGCCGTTTCCAGGAAAAAACACATGCTTCCCATGCGTTCCAACAGCACCCTCAACTTCCTCTCTCTCACAGCACGGCGCACACAGTGCACCGACTCTCTCGCTAAACCGCACGCTCGGGACAGCCGGGGTCACGAACGCGCTCGCGGCAGGGCCTGGCACGAACAGGCCCGCGAGCATCTGTGCGATGAACAGGCAATTCACAACACCGTTCAGGCGTCACTGAAACACTGAGGCGAAAGGCGTGCGCAGTAGCAACTTACCGTTTGTCTGAACCCATGGCCTCCCTGAAGGTCTAGCTCACCGCTTCACAAGGTTCGAGTCTGGTTTTTCTCTAGGAGAGAAGAGAGACTGATTGCTGCAAATCCGAGAGACCACTTGAGCCCATTTTTCTGGAAGGTGGGAAGCGACTGAGGCCTGAATGCCACCGAAACCGTGGAAGGGGCCGACTGTCAGCACTGAAGTCGCACTACACTTCGTCCACAGCGCGGGCGGCGGGAGAAGGAGGCACACCTTATCCCAGCAGACTCCACCTTCACAACAAACCCAGAAAAAGGTGCCAGCGGACCAGGCCTCCCCGTTCCCGCTCGGAGATTACAAAGCAAAAAGGACGGCGCTGCGACCGGCTCCCTCGCTCCGCATCAAAGAAACTCCAGCAGCGGGGCAGACGGCCGTGAAAACGCCAACCACAGTGTCTTGGTCAACACAAGGGGAAACACGAAACTCTGTAACATTTCTGATGAAAAAATTAATTAAAATCGGAAGCGGGAGATGCTGAGCCGATTGAAACCCACTCCACGCGCACCGCGACGGCTGAGTCAGTCCGACCGGAGCAAACCTCGGCTTCATTCCGGGTAACGATGCCCGCCACACCGGGGGCCAGTCCCGACCCCGCGGCGCCCCAGCCCCCGGGCGCCGGTAACCCATCGCCCTCGGCCAGAACGCGTCCGCTGCCTGCGAGGGCCGGGACGCTGTTCTGGAGCCGGCACCCAACGAACATGGGCAGAACTAATGGAAGAGAATCATCCGGGAGCAGCCAGGCCTCGGGCGGAATCGCCAAGGCCGCCCGGGGCCTCCCGGGCGCTGCCCAGACCCACCTCCGCGGGGTGTCGCGGCCGAGATGGCGGCGCCGCCGCCGCCGGGGCGCCCAGCCGGGGCGCCCGGCTTCCCCCAACTGCCCGCACACGCCCCTCCCGGCCCCAGGAGGTCCCCGGCCCACAGAGTAGACCTCACAGAGCAGCCTCACGGAGGGGGCTGACGAGGTGCAGCTGCGGGGCGATGGTGGCCAGAACCGCCAGCATCGCCGGGGAGTACCCGGGGGACCGCGACGGCTCCGGGCTCATTTGGGCTGGAGAGCCGGAAGGGCGTCCCGACGGGGACTCGCTCAGAGGCCGAACGAAACAGGCCTGGAGCTGGGCGGGAGGGCGTACTGTGAAAGCTGACAGCTCTGGCGGCGAAGCCCAGCGCGGGCCTCCAACGCCTCGGGTAGTTTAGCCCCCCGAGAGATCCGCTGGGATCGGCAGCCGCCCGCCCGCGGCCCAAAGGGAGGCTCCGCAAGGCCTGTCCCAACAGTAAGAACGGCCGGCCATTTCGGCCGGCCGCCACACTTACCTTCAGGAAGGGTCGGAGTTGCAGAAGTAGCGGTTTCGTGCCTCAGAATCTCTAACAGGGTACCGCCGCTCCACAAAATGGCGTCTCTGTCGACCGCCGTCTCCTACCCACAGTGCCTCGCGCCCGCCCCCTCCCCGGACACGCCTCCCGAGGAGGCGCCCAATCCGCGAAGGCGTCTGGCTGCGCGAGGGCTGCTGGGAAGTGTGGTCGCTAGGGCAGCCTGTCAGTTACTGAACGCCCCGTGTTAATTTCCTGCGTATTTCCCTTTCTTCAAAACCCTGACCGTTGTCGAGCTGCCTTTTGCAGACGTGTCTTAGAGCTTTTACCTTTATTAGGTGTACTAATTTTTTGCCTTTGTTACAAGTGTTTTCAATCCGGCTTGAGAATTAAAAGCTAGTTGATACCATGCTGCATTTAATGGACACTAAGATCATCGGGCTACCTTACAAATACCTATTTTCACCTGAATAACCTATGACATGGTGATTAAATCCACTTTGCAGGTGAGGAACTTGAAATTTATGGAAATCGGGAAAGCAGGTCTTCAAAGTATCGGGTTGGCCAAAAAGTCCATTTAGTTTTTTCTGTAAAATAAAAGACACAGTTTTCATTTTTACCAATAACTTTATTGATTTGGATATTTTAAGTATGTTAACTATCTCCTGCTATTGGCTTCTAGTGGGTAGAGGCCAGGGGTGCTGCTAAACATCTTCCAGTGCATAAAACAGGCCCACAGCAAAGAATTATTTGGCCAACATTATCAATAGTACACAGAAACTTTACAAACCACTTTTGACATATTCCATCAGACACAGCACCTTTTCCATACACTGCATACATCTTTTTTTTTGCATTTAGTTGTGTTTTTATCTTTCTTGAAATAATAAAACATAGTACACCAAAAATGTTGCATATTTTCTTCCATTTTCAATATTGAAATGGCTGTACAAAAATTCACCAATGTTCGTGTTTTTTTTTAAAATTCAGGCTGATATGACAACTGTCACAATGTGATCTAACAACATAATTTCGAATGAAGTTAGAGACAACTAAGCACTACTAGAGCCATCCTACAGAAAAAACTAAGTGAATTTTTGGCCAACCCAATTATCATTCATTGATATTCTCTGATTCTAAGGCAACGGCTCAGGAAAGTAATTTCCATGGTTAATTTAACAGTTACTGTTTGGACACCTAGTAATAAGTATCTCAAAGTTAACCCAACCAAAACCCAAGCTCATCTCCAAAACCTGCCCCAGCTCATAAGTGGAGATCCCCTGCTTCCAGTTAGGACAAAAAATTTAGAGTAATCCATGACTTTTTTCTCAAACCTAACCTGTCAGCAAATCCTGATTCTACCTTCAAAATATTTCTAGGATAGACATATCCTAGATATTTCTAGCACTTCTAGCTGCAGCTGCTGTCCACCTAGGCAAAGCCATCATGTCCCAGAGACAGTAGGTGACACAGAGCAACTAGTGGTGGAACTGGGATATGAACTAGGAAGTTGGATTTCAGAGCCCTTGCCCTCAACCCCTAGAATGTGAACTCCAAAACAGCAGGGATTTTTGTCTGTTTAATTCGCTAGTTGTCACGAGCATATGTTCACAATATAGTCTTTCCTATAAGTCAGCTGGGCGGCTGCCCGGTTAGCTGTCTGCTGAGCAGCACAGCACAAAGGAACAGACAAGAGTCACACAAGGTAACTAATTATGCTATTCACGGAGCCTTTATTGAATGCAGGTTCACCCAAAGTAGAAAAGAACATCACATACATTAATATCCTACTCACACTCTAGCAATCTAAGAGAAATATAATATACACACATGGCAGTGAATAGGGGATAATGAACCCGAGTCCCAGAGTCTCAGTCTGCAGGTCCAGGCGACAGCAGGGTGGGCAAGGGAGTTGTCAGCGTCCTGCAAGGAAGGATCTCCAGAGCCAGGTAGGCAAACAAAGTCCTCCGTCCATCAGGGCAGAGTCTCCAGCAGCTGATGCCCAGGGAGACCAGTGTGGCCCAGAGCAGCACTCTGGCGTGTGGAGCTCGGCTGTCTCAGCAGTGGTCTGGAGCCTGCCTCAGTTATGCCTGGACAGTGGTGCACTCCGCCCTTCTGGGTCTTTCGATAAATGTCTTGGCACCCCTGATGGCAAGTGAGGAATTTGCCCAGGAGTCCATCTATGGGTGGTCCCGCTCTACAGACATGTCCATTCTGACCACGTGTGCAGATACCTTAGGTGTGTCTCCTTGCCAGATGTGTCTGCTCTGATTTAGGTCGTTTCCCTCTTGAACCAAAGTGTCATGGTGACTGACAGCCATTTTGGTTGACATGAGTGACTCCACTTTGTTTTATATGCTTTATGTTATCTTGACTGGACCAAAGGTGTTTTATTGGTCCTGCTTTCCACACTGCTGTACCCCCAGTGCTTCCACTGGTGCCTGGCACGTGGTAGGCACTCAGTAAATATTTGTTGAACAACAAATCAATCTACTGCTTAAGCTAAAAGTGTAACATTTGTGGCAGAAAGAAGCAGGGATCCCTGGGTGATTCACAGAGATGTTTTGGACTCCAGCCAGCAACGTGATGGTATTGCTGTACATACACTTACCGTAATTTGCTCCCTGGCATTATTGATAAAGGCATTTTTAGTGGAACTGAGTTCTCAGGCCACATGTACAAATTTAAAAATAGACCATGACAAGGCAGAGGAAGCTCAGTTACAGAAAACTGCACCCATGCCACTCACTGTCTTGTGGATAAGAAATCTTTCAAAAATAAGTGGAAGGATGTCAGTGAGATTCCAAACCAGAAACTTCAAATGCACTAGAAAATATTTTTCCTGGAAAGGTATCTTTTTTAAAAAGATTTTATCTTTATTTATTTTTAGAGAGGGAAGGGAGGGAGAAAGAGAGAGAGGAACATCAATGTGCAGTTGCTGGGGGCTGTGGCCTGCAACCCAGGCATGTGCCCTGACTGGGAATCAAACCTGCGACACTTTGGTTCGCAGCCCGCGCTCAATCCACTGAGCTACACCAGCCAGGGCTCCTGGAAAAGTATCTTTACACAGGTACAGCTTATCCTTCTACATCGAGGGCTTTAAGGGACTGACAGTAGAAACCTTTTGGGTACTTGAAAACATGACGATAGGGAAAGGTGGAAATATCTGGACTTTGGAATGATGAGTAACTGCTTTCTGTTCCCTCCCCCCCTCTCCTCTCTCACAGCGTGTGTGTGTGTGTGTGTGTGTGTGTGTGTGTGTAAGTATGCACGTGTGAGGTCCATCTGGGCTACTACAACAAAATACCACAGACTTTGTAGCTTATAAGCAACAGAAATTTCTCTCTCTCTGTTTTGGAAACAGGAAGCCCAACATCACGGTGGAAGTGGCTGGATGACGGGCCTCTCGTACATGTCTCCGCAGACGGTGGAAGGGTCTACGGAACTCTGGGGATCTCTTTAAATAAAAAATAGCTCGAATCCTATTTATAGCAACTCTGTCCTCATGAACTGATCGTTTCCCAAAGGCCTCACCTACTAATACCATCACCTTTGGGGGTTAGGATTTCAATATATAAATTTGTGGGGGACACACAAACATTCAGATCACAGCACTATCTACCCACACACATTTCTACCTTTTCATGTGCAAACATGCAAGATATATATAGATAGATAGATATAGAGTATATATTCCAACTTATGGGGGAAGTACATATACAAGTGTATATAAAACTTTTATCATTAGAAAAAAAGTAAATGTATGTGATCCACAGAAGGCATGCAAATATATTTTTAAAAAGATTTTATTTATTTACTTTTAAGGAGAAGGGAAGGGAGGGAGAAAGAGAAGGAGAGAAACGTCAATGTGTGGTTGCCTCTTGCACACCCCCAACTGGGGACCTGGCCTGCAACCCAGGTACGTGCCCTGACTGGGAATCGAACAAGGACTTTCGTTCGCAGGCGGGGGCTCAACCCACTGGGCCACACCAGCCAGGACCATGCAAAGAGTTGTCTAATGAAATTTAAAAGTTAAATATAGATGGGGTCATTGCAACCTTGCAATGGACAGTAAAGATGCCAGGGGTCCAGAGCCTGCCTGACTTAAGGGCCACAAGCAGTTGACCGCACTGGTCTCGAAGCCGTTCAACAGGCATCTCGCAGCATCGCAGGGGCGGTGCTGGGCTGGGCTCTGTCCCCGCCCACAGGCTACATGGCTGTTTGTAAACGGTACAGAGTCATTCTTCCACCTGAAGGAGCTGCCTAGAAAAAAAGATGGATCCCAGCAGGCGGAAGTACCATCTTCCAAATTCTCTGGTTGCTGACCTTTTTCTGGGGACGTCGTCCCGCCGAGTTCCAGAGCTGTGCTCCCAAAGGCCTGTCTGGCAGCTGATGTGGGTCTGGAAAAGTTTAAATTTCCAGCTAAGGAAGGAAAGCAATGACAACAGAGGGAGGGTTGTGCTCAGTCCAGAATAAAGGATAGTTGTTAAGGTTGCCTTTCCTATTTTTTTTGAAATAAGAAAACAAGTTCTCTCTCTCTCTCTTTTTTAAAGATTTTATTTATTTATTTTTAGAGAGGGAAGGGAGGGAGAAAGAGAGAGAGAGAGAAACATCAATGTGCGGTTGCTGGGGGCTGTGGCCTGCACCCCAGGCATGTGCCCTGACTGGGAATCGAACCTGTGACACTTTGGTTCACAGCCCACGCTCAATCCACTGAGCTACAAGTTCTCTTCTTAATGAAATGATAACCTTAGCCCCTCTGACTCCCCTTAATTTTCCACTTGGCAAAAGGAAAAAGTAGCTGACGTGTTCGTGTCCCAGGCTGGAACTACTGCTCTATAGTATCAAGTAAAAGAGATTTTGTTTGAGAACTCTGGCCTATACCAAGAAACTAAAATAATTTCTTTTGTCAAGATGGGCTTTGGTGAACCGAAAGATGTCATTAACATTTAATTCAACCAGTATTTCCCAGACTTATGAGGTCAGCACCGTTCACTTCTCTATTGAGTGCGCACTGTGGCAGGCCCTGTGCCAGGGGCTACGGATGTGACAGTGAGGAAAATTACCCAGGACCCCGTCCCTACGCAGCTGGCATTCCGATCAAAGGCCTCAGGGAACTTCCCAGGGACACCATAGGGTGACACATTTTTCACACCCATTTTTACTTTCATCAGTACCTGAAGTACTGCTTTTAAAATGTATTAAATACTTTATTTAAAGATTTTATTTATTTATTTTTAGAGAGAAGAAGGGAGATAGAAAGGGAGAGAAACAACAATATGTGATCGTCTCTCGCACGCCCCCTTCTGGGCACCTGGCCCACAACCCAGGCATGTGCCCTGATTGGGAATTGAACCAGTGAGCCTTTAGTTCACCACTGAGCCACACCAGCCATGGCTAAAATGTATGAAATACTTTAGACCTTACCTCCAACAGTGAAATCTCCTTTAAAGTGGCAAAATAAAACCAGAAAAAAATAAAACTGTGCAATGGCCCAAACCAGTCTCCTAGGTCCAAGGTCTTCAGGGAAGATGAGAATCATGTCCAGCTCGGCCCACCCTGGAGCTCAGTGCACTTCTCCCTCAAGGCTTTCAACATGCCAAAAATTGCTCGATGTTCACCTCTCCCCCAGATGACCGAGTCCCCTGGATACCGACACCGGGCTCACTCTAGAAGCCTAGTGACAGCTAGGGTGGCCTCTCAAAACATTCACAGAGTGACCACATAATAACTTGGTACTTCTGCCGGGCAGCCGACAACTGGGGTCAACCAGGAGCCCGGACAGGAGTCTTCCTGTGTTCTGCGGCTTGCTCTAGGCCCCGCAGGGCGACAGAGCCGGAAGGAAAACCTGGTCCGATCCACTCGGGACAAACTTGGACCAGCTCCCCGTGTCTGGAGACCTACTCAGCGGAGGTTAGACAGAAAGTACCGAGATGCACCGCAGACGTAGCTGCGACCATCGCCAGACCGGAAGGGCTCTAGAGTGCCTCTGCCTGGGGTGGCGGATGCAAACAGGCCACCTTCTGTGATGCCGGCATGGGTGGCAGCGAGGCCAGGAACCTGAGGCGCTCAACCCCTAAGCCAGCGTGCTCCTGAGTGTTTGTTTTCCGTTCCGGAGGAGTAAAAAGACTTATTAAGAGTAAGAGAGTCCTGGTTGGCGTAGCTCAGTGGATTGAGTGCGGGCTGTGAACCAAAGCATCGCAGGTTTGATTCCCAGTCAGGGCACATGCCAGGGTTGCAGGCCACAGCCCCCAGCAACTGCACATTGATGTTTCTCTCTCTGTCTCTCTCCCTCCCTTCCCTCTCTAAAAATAAATAAATAAATAAATAAATCCTTAGAAAAAAAGACTTGCCAAAATTAAAAAAAAAAAAAAAAAAAAAAAGAGTAAGAGAGAGGGATTCTAACGACGCAGCATGCACACAATTCAAACACACGTTTATCATTCCTGTTCCTGGAAATGTTTCCTCCCTGGTGAATGCCCGCTTCTCCTTGCCTCTCCCACTGCTCGCTGCCACCCCTGCCTTCTCTCTCCAGGGCCCTTCCAGTGCCCGTCTGGTGCTGGATCCGCCCACACACCGGGGGCTGGCAAACCACTGACTATGGGCCAACTCTGGCCTGCAACCTGTTTCTGTAAAAACACAGCCATGACCCTTTGTTAATGCATTATCGTCTGCGGCTGCTTTCTCAATGCAGCAGCGCTGGGCCTAACTGGATCTCCGCCGCTCTGCGGAAAAGCCCACAAGCGCCCACCTAACATCATCGAGGTGTTCTTCTAAACGCGTAGTTCTCTTCCTATGAAAAGTTCTTACCTGTGACATATTATTCACAGCACCACTCTTAGAACTATAGTATGTTACCTTGAAGAACTGTCTTTAAAAGTTTAAATTAGCTCCTGGATGGTGTGGCTCAGTGTACTGAATGCCAGCCTGAGAACCAGAGTCGTCAGTTCGATCCCCAGTCGGGGCACAAGCCTGAGTTGCGGGCAGGGTGCCCTGTGGGGGGCGTGTGAGAGGCAACCACACACACTGACGTTTCTCTCCCACTCTTCCCCTTTCTAAAAATAAATAAAACCTTTAAAAACAAATTTAAATTAGGTTCATAGGACATAGCCTTGTAACTGTGGAAGAAATGGTATGAGTGACGCGTTGGGAAGGTTAAGGAAGGTCCGAAAGGGGAGACGCCTCTGGGGAGAGTTTCAGCCGTGGAGGGAGGAAAAGGCTGGGCGTCGGCCGGAGAGGGGTGCAACTCTTCCTCGCGGACGTGTCCCGGCGACCACAGTGTGCGAGCACCGAGCGCCCAGCAGGCACAAGAAAGAGTCGCCCAACACCCCCCCGACGCTGGGGAGGTCAGAGGAGGGTTTTCAAAGGCCGTCAGAGCAGCGACCCAACACGTGGAAGGAGTCTGGCCTCGGCGGTCGGCAAAGAAACAGGACAACAGTGACGCGCTGCTCTCCCCGGCTCGGGAGCCTGAGTCTCGGTCTGACAGCCCCACACAGGCCGGAGCTCCAGGTCACTGGTCCCGACAGCAGGCGGCGCTGCCGGGCTCAGCGCCGCTGTCTCCAGGCAGCAGCACCTCAAACGGCCCACCTCAAGGGCGCCCACCCCCTCCCACCTACGGGAGACAAGTGCAAGGACACCAAAAAGTCACATTGAAAAAAAGTTTATTTAAAAAAGTCCTAGCAGCCAGAACAGTAACAAAACAAAAGGAGAGACGGACAAACAAAACGGGGGAGGGGGTGGGGCTGTGTCCTGGGGGTGCGTGCCCACGCCTCTTCAGTCGAGCTCCTTGTACCGCGCAAACATGACCCGGCGCACGGCGTCCCGGTAGGTCTCGTTGGACTGTCTCTTGCCGGGTCTCCCGGGAGCCCCCGCGCTGGGCCCCCGCGGCCGGCCTTCGGTCTGCGCGAGAGAGGCACACAGTGAGGGGGGCTCTGTGAGTCGGCTGCGGGCTGGCCTCTGACCACGCGCATTTCTGAGTGGGAGCGGAGCGGGACGGGGGGCGGGTTTTCAGGTGTGTCGCACACAGGCCCCGAGATGAGGGAGGAGGCGGGGCCGCAGTGAGTGCAGGACTCCGACCCCCACACGGAGCCGGGAGAGGCCGCCCTGCAGGCGGCAGGTTCAGAGGGGGCGGAGGGAGCGCAAAATGGGCCGTGTTTCCTCTTGGCACCTTCCTCCCCGTCTCCTGAAATCTCGGGGGCGAAGCCCTTCCTGGGAACCAGGGTGAACTTCATGCGCCTCAAACTTTCGGCATCGGACACCTCTGATGACGACCCCTCCCAGACAGAGGCGCCTTTGTGCCTCTGGTGGCTAGCTCCCCGGTCTTTCCACCCAAGGGCTCTTCAGGCTCACCCTGCCTGCTTCCCACGGCGCCGCACCTCTTACTCTGTGCAGGAATAAGATGAGCTCCCTCCCAACTGCTC